GGGATTTGTCTTCACAAGATTACCAAACCTAGTGGTTCAGTTTGATATCACATCCCTTCTAGGCAAAAGCAGCATTGAGCACTGGACCCACTTTTTAGGTTCCTGCCTCTTCCCAGACTTTGACCCAATAATTTCTCACTATCATATGAGCTTGGGACCTGAAACATTTTAACAGAGATGAGCTCTTGGAAAGCGTGGATCCGTGGCCCCCACTTTGTTCTCCCCACTGGACCTTTCCCTTCAGCATTGCCCTGTCATGCCTGATTCTAGGAAATAAGCTATTCCATCTGTGCAATTCTAGCTCAAGACTGTACAAAATCTTTGGTTCCCCCTAAAATCCAAGAGATGATGACATTTTCAAAACCACAGTCCCAAAACACTAAGAATCTAAAAGAAGGAAAAGTTCTAGGAAAAAATACATGACAGCCATTTTCCAAAGAATTTGGTTTTGTTTACTAAACCTAAAAGGAGACCTGGTATTTATCACCTCCCATCAGGAGGACACACTCCTTTGGTGCCCAGGCCCCTGGTCAGTCAAGACCAAGAGGTAAAGGCCCCTCTATTCTGAAGTCTCTTTGGAGAAGCAGCCCTGGTGAGGGAACTGACAGGACTGTGTGTGGGTCACGATGCAGTGAAGTTCTCCCCCTGACTGGCTAAGGGCCCCAGTTATGTAAGTCTCTTCAAATGTCTGATTCCTCTTGGAACCCAGAGAAGGCTGATGAGGATTTTGAGGGAGGAGACTTCCATAGTCCTTCAAAAATCACACTTAAATAATTTAGAATCTTTCACTGCATGACTCTTCACACTTATAGAGTTTAAGTACACTGACCAGGCACCTGTATTCTGGAGCTGTGCTGTCCCATACGGTAGCCACCAGTCATGTGCGGCTGCTACTTGAATATGGCTCTATGAACTGACTGTGCTGTAAGTGCAAAGTACACACCCTATTTTGATGGCTTAGTATGGAAAAAAATGTAAAATATCTCAATTTTTCATATTAGCTATATGTTGAAATAATATTTTGGATATATTGGGTTGAATTAATTTCACCTGTTAATTAGTCATTGCTGTCTCTTGGGTAATCTTGGTTCTAAAGTCTGAATCTCCTCTTTCTGAATGGTTCTTTTTTTCCACAATTAGAATATGCATTGAAGCATCTCCAGAACATCCCTTAAAGTTGCTCACATTTGTAGAAGTAGCATGATATAATAAGAAAAAACAACTTGGGTTCTGATATTTATTTTTGTCACTAACTACCAATGAAATTTGTCAAGTCATTTTTAACTCTCTGGGTCTGAGTTTCTTTATGTAAAATGAATTGGGTGGACTAGGTTTCCTCTATGGTTTCTTCCAATTCTATGATTATTTGATTACCGTTATGTTAAAATTTTTCCATGCATAAGATAGATTTAGATCTTTGGTATGTTGCACATATAATTTTTGACCCTGCTTTTGAAAACAATATAAAAATTTAGGATACTTCCATTGTTAAAAAGGCACCCAGCTGATTTGTATAACCTTATATATGTTAAAATTGCATGTTTATTTTCTGTGCTGTTATAAATTTTGCCATGAGAATTGTTTTGTTAATGAAGGTTCTTCAATTTTTAAGGTTCAGCCTCTGGCTGTGATTATTATTATTCTATATTTGGTCCCTTAGCTTTTCTTCCATAGATCATCCTCATTCCTCTGCCATGTATGTCTCCATACTCTCTTTTGACCATTTCTGGTTATATTTTATATCTTATTCTGACCACGCTGTGTCCTGGAGTTTTCTTTCAGGACTGAGCTCTCAACACCAGCACCCTTGTCACACTTTTCCCCCTCTTTAGACTCTGAGACTTCCTGATGAACTACCCATTTCAAAATGACCTCATCTGAAAAGATCTAATAATAGGTAAATTTCAGGGTAAATTCAAGTCTGTGCAATTCTTACTTGGGGAGTGGGGGTATGCCCTTCCATTTGAAGCCTTAAGTCTTATCTGGAAATGAAAGGCTTTATTCTTATTACATTGAAAGGGATGTTTCTATTCTATATTTAATGTTCTTAAACTCCATCACAGTATGTGAACTCTCACATACTTAATGCTTTGCAAGCCCTGCACATACTCATTCTTTCTCATGAAAATGTGGCTTTAAATACATCTGCAGTTACTATGCAAGATTCTGACTGCTAAATAAACCTATTCAACCTTCATCTTGCACAGAGTTCGAAGAGCACTGGTTTTGGAGTAACATAATCTAGTTTCATGTTTTAGCTGCTCTTGAACTAGATATATCATCTTGGACAAATTCTTTCTTCTCCCTAAGCTGTAGGTTCCTAATCTGCTAAAAAGAGCTATGATAATACCTGTTGAACTTGTATCACATGGTATGCTTCTGAACATCTAAGGAAATAATGAACTTATACGAAGGTACTTATCAATGGTAAAGATCTACACAGCATGAGTGATATTGAGCATCCTGAAACTCATTAAATTTCATTCCTCATTCCATTTTCCCTTCCTCAGGTCAGAATAAATACATTGACCCATTCAGTTTAGACAAGAACAATGAATATGACTTAGGATTTTCAGAATAATGGAAAGTTTCAAGTTAAGATGAAATGATCAGTCCCTTCATTTAATCATGGTCTGAGAGCTATGAAACACTTCTTAGAACTAATAACCTGAGTTCCTTTACACAATTCACCTATGAAACTCAATGTCAAAAAAAAAACCTAGCAAATAATTTTCTGAAATTCAGATAGAACCTGGATGGAGGGATCGAGGTCAGGATTAAATGGATAGCCATATTAAAGGAGCAAATTAATGTGAACGTTATCAAAGTGGAGTGAAATAAAAGATTTTAAGAATTAGAAGTTAATCAATGGGATATATTGGGAAAGAATTGTGTCCCTAAAACAGACTCAAGAATATTTTCCAAACACAAAATTCATTTACTAATATCACTCAAAGTATCAGTCAGAAAAAACGTGTGTGTGTGTGTGTGTCTGTGCATATATGTATATTCTTCCCTATCATTTCTTTGAAATCAGGAGCGTTGAGACAGAGCTTCTGTCATCAGTTACTCTTGGAATTTGGTGAAAAAAGGAAAGAATCTGGAACCGTCACTCTGGGTTCCCTCTGCGTTCCTCACTTAGGAGCTATTTCCTCCTCCCCGGAAGGGAGGCAATACCGTCTGCTCCGCCCGGGTCGCAGAGTGGTTCTAATGCGCTGGGTGGGAAAGACAGGTGCAGCCGGCCGCTGGGGCCCCGACCGCAGGAGCTGCGCACCGGGCAAAGCAGTTAAGAAAACACACAGCTCTCGCCCGCTGGGCGGCACCTGACGAACAGGATGGCAGTTGTCTTTACCCCAAGTCTATTTCTTTTTCATACCCTTTCAAATGTGTATAACAGGGAGGAGGGTCTGGGAGGCTTAAGGAGCTTGGATACAGAGCCCTTCCCTCCCCACAGCTATTTACACCTTCTTCCATCGTTATTTCGTTCGTTCGTTCATTCAGCATGTATTTCTCGGACCCCCGATGGGCGCGGGACGCTGGGCGAGGCGCTGAGAGCCGCACGGAGACAAGGGCCCCGAGGTGGCGTCGGGGAGCCTCGGTCTCGGGGCGGCGAGGCCCAGGAGCCCCGCCCCCGTCTCCCAGGCCGCCCGCGGCGGCGGCCCGGCGGCGCGCGTCCCCTTGGCGACCAGTGGGGGCGGCGCACGCGCGGCGGGCGGGAAGGCCGAGCCCGTAACGGCCTCGGGGGCCTCGCGGCGAGCGGGCCC